CCGATTCCCCCCCTTCCCACCGAGGGACCCATCGTCTCCCGCTGCACCCCAGTCTTCGCCCCCCCACCCACGTGGCTTATCATCAATCAAACATTAATTAAATCCTTAATATTTTTCAAAATTTTGAAATTGCTTTTTCATTCCTTCAACTATTTTCGAATAAATTCTCGAAATTAATTCGAAAATAATCACCCTTTTCCGCAATTTCGAAATTTCTTCTGAAATATTTTCGAACCTCGAAAATAATTAATTTTTACGAAATTATTTTGCAATTTCTTTGAAATATTTTGAAAATAATTCTTTTCGATTTTTTTTTTTTTTTTCGCAATTCGTTTTCCTTTTCATAGTCAGCAATTATTATTCTCTTTTCCTTGTCATTTACCTTTCGAAAATTAATTTTGCAATTAACCAATTTAGCCATTTTGAAATACTTTTGAATCTCGAAAATTTTTCCGAATATTTTGCATTTCGAAATTAATTTTTTCTAAAATACCCAAAACTTTCATTTATTCCACCCAAAAATTGCATTTCCGCTTTTGAAATTCCAAAAAGTTCTCTTTTCTTGCAAACATTTTAAATACTTAAATAATTAAACTCCGAAAAAGAACCAAATCAACTTTTAAATCCAAATTCAACTTTCTTTTCGTTTTGAAAATTCTTGAATTTCTTTTCCAAATTTCATTTTATTTTTCTCGAATTTTACCTTTTTCTTTTCCAACATTTCTTTTCTTTTTTCAAAGTAATTCAGAAATCTCGATTAATAATATTTTCACAATTATCAATTAAATTCGTTAGAAATTCAAAATAAACCCCCAAAATATAGCATTTTTATTTATTTATTTATTTTGAATTTTTCCATTTATCCCAATTTTAATTTTTCCGCATTTTGTCACGAAAAATAACCCAAAACTTTTTTAGTTTTTCCCTTTTGAAAATTAATCAAATAAATTCGAAGTTCATTATCTTGAAAATTTAATTTTCCTCTTTATCTTTACCCCGAATTTTCTGCAATTTTTCTTCGCCAACTTTTATTCCATTTGAAATTTAGGTTCTGATTTTAATTTTCTTCCCCAAAACTTTGCCCCCAAATTTTCATCTTCCCCCCCCCCCCCCCC